GTTGTGTTTGTTCTGTATGTAGTGTGTGTTACGTATATATATACTATATATTATATATATATTGTATTATATATGTGTGTCTCTCTCTCTGTGTGTGTGTGTGTGTGTGTCTCTCTCTCTCTCTCTCTGTGTGTGTGTGTGTGTGTACAATATATGTATGTATATATCTGTATATATATATATTCATTACTATGCTGTTTGGAAGAGGCCAATCGATGATTTTTAAGCTTATATATTTTCTTAATCGAATTAAATGTATCACTACGACCACACTTTTATATAATATAAGACATGCAACATTAGTACCAACCATATATTGTGTGTTTGTCAGGTCAAAACTGAAAAGTAAATTCGTACCCATGTACGTCTCACTATATGTTTTTATGCTTTCTCATGGGCAAATACAAGTATACAGGTACAACTGCGCGTGTGTTTAAGCTGATGTCTTATTCGTGCAAAACTAAATACACGTTCTTGCGCCTATAGAAATATACAAAAAATGAAACGAATCAGTTATAGGAGCAAAGCACGCCCCACTATTTGATATTACATTAGTTGTTTATACAGTTTGGAAAGAACCGCGTCGACTAGTCTCCGTCCATGCTTCTCAGCCAGATGATTATAGTCCTGGGTAAGGTAGGTACAGTATTCGATCCCTTCGAAATTCCTGATATATTAACTACTGGCATGCGATTTCGCTGGCGCTGTTGGCCAGCGGGCTTAATCCGATACTCTGTGATTGAGCTTATGTGATATTGCATGCAGTCAACGCCCCACTTTCAATTGAATATGCGTCAATATCTATTCGGGCGGGCTGACCTATCTCACAACGTTGGTGTGCAGGAACTGGCGAGTATTGCTGCTGCTGTGACTCCAACATGGGCAAGATAGTCACAAATAGGTAATTACGATTGACCCGTAGAGTAGCGCTGGCCTACGCGTTCGATGCTAAAGAATGGCTACTTCTTTTGCGCTTATTTTTTGTCTGCTTGAACTATGCAGTTTATATACCTTATCCTTCGACTAGCAAGTGGATTGGCCATACTCAGGGACATTCAGATACGTAGTGTATCACAACCAATTGGCATCCAGCACTAACTCTTTTGAGTGTGGCAGTGATCCACTACAAACCATACGAATACAGCAAAGCGCAATTAGGTTGGAAAGCTCTAATCAGACATTTATCCTTTGTATAAATACACGTGAAGAAGATCAGGTGATAGCAGATAGTGTGTAGTATATTGTATAACAAGAGTAGTTCGAATGTCAAACGACATACCATAGTACTGCTAGAACAGTCCCTGGCCCGATGACGTCCTTTCATCGACCGGGAAGTACTTCGACAGTTTTTTACACATTGTGTGGCTTGAGCTAGAATACACAAACTAACCGGTAGCATGCACCCATTGTACTTCTCTCAGGGAGTGATCTCAGTCTCACAATCGATGCACTGCCATAAAGATGTTGTTAAATACATTTATGATCTTGCTAATCTCGTTCCTCAGAACAGATCAAAACACGTCAAATTCCTGGAATACTCTGGCACGAAGGCGTCGCGCCAGTATGCCTCGTTCGAGGTTGTCTGTCGGCTCAGATAGTCGAACACTCGAGCGTGGTCCAATAAAATGGATGCCACACATACCAAATCAGGCACTCCTTCCCTGATTGTGCCTGATGGCAAAGTTCAGTATGAGCACCGTCTCGAATAATGTATTCGGGGTTAGTTTTGGATTGTGCGCCCGCGCAAGCGCGTGCTACATACCAAGCGCTCATAAGAATGCAATTGAAGACGACTGTGGCATATCTGTGCTGTGACTCGTATTCACGCAGTTCTACACAAAGATATACGTATGTATGCGCGGCACATACGACAGAGAATAGTTGCAGGCGATTGAGACCCCTTTGTCCTTGACACATGCAATAATATATATCCTATTCAATTTCTATAATAAACAAATGCGCATGGAGTACTGAATACAGTTTCTATCCACTGTAGATATAATCCTACAACCGTAGTCCTTTGCCCCATGCGGCGCCAGCAATGTACGCTAAGAAATCGTCAGTGTTGTTCGTCCGATATGTGAAAACATGCAAGCCGCAATGCAGTCCAACCTGAAGATGGCTTCATAAATGAATTATACATAAATAGTAACTCGTTCACACTAGCTTGCCACGTTATTGCTACGGGCCACCCTATCAGCTATGATTATATTCATGTTAAATGCTATACATAGTGTAGCATTGCAGTACGCCCAGATTTGGTCTACTTCGTGAATTGGCAGAGACGTATGATATTGTGGTCGGTCTACATGCACTGACCTTGTGTAGTCATTTCCACCTTTTGGATCATTAACCAAACAACCCCGGAAGGTCGACATTCGAGCATACCGTTGGCGCCTGCCGCCCGTCGCCAGTGAATAAATACCGTGTCCTGCATTTCCTATTTAGAGGAACTAAATAATATTTATATCATACCATATGCATGTCGTGACGATTAGGTACTTGTACATATTCGAGCTGCTTCCGGTTCTCAATCTTCGATGATGATAGAGGGATGTATTTAAACGGAGACAGCAAAATGAAATACATATTCCTAGTTCAGAATAAATTGTTGCTTCTTTTTGAAGTTTTATAGTTAGTGCAAAGAGTCAGACTAGAACGCACTCGGGTTGCAATCCAAGTGGTCCACGACACATAATTCATAGGAATCATGATATGTCATATAGCATCATAAATGAAGGTACACATTAGTGCACCGACAGGCAATAGGATAATCCTACTGATAATAGTCGATTTAACTGTTACAATTATTATCCTTATTTATACCATTTTGAAATTCCGTGCTATTACGATTGTTTTATGTAATATTACATATCGACTGTGGTCCACGTGAACTTTGAAAAATATACATTTAAAAAAAAACTGTTTAAGCGAGAAAAAAAGCTTTCAGTCTTATCAGAAAAACTTGGGTTGAACCAGTTCTGGCGGCACATATTTTGAATTTTTTTAGTATGATACACCGGTGAGGCGGTGACCGGTTGTCGGTGTAATGTACTATTTATCAAGTTTCATATTTGCAACGTTTTGCCTGTTGCCTTTTTTTTTTTGACTTTTCATACATGGTAGTCTAGCGCTCGTATTACGCGCACCCAGGCAGGAATGCATTAATATGCAGTGATTGAGGAATTCCACTGTACTAGACTATTGATATGAAGTGAACCGCTTTAGTAGAAAGACGGCTAAACACCGGATGGAAGGTGTGCTTTTCTGATATTACAGGCCAACCGATTAGCATTACATATGAGAATTACAAGACACGGTACACGAAGATCGTCTGCACACGTAACATAGTCATCTCGGATATAGGAACGAGATCACTTATACTCTGAAGATGGTGAGCTCTCTGCGTAAGTACAGGTCGGCACCGGGAAGGGGTGTGGCTGACTCGGGTGTTCTCGAACTGACATTGTCTCGTGAACAGATCAATGAGCGGCAACAGAGCAGGGCACGCGCGATCATACATAGAGCGTTCAATGAGGGCAAGAATGTATTCGATCTGTCAAGTATGTTCTTTGCTCGATTTGTGAAGTGTACGTTTTGAGTGTACTTTAAGAGTTTTCCAGAATGTTCAACCGCATTGTTGTCTGTCAAACTCTTCGCAAGAACAGACCTTGAACAGCGTCTTTAGTTTGACGATATGTACGTTGCCAATTCAAACCCCTGTTCGGTGTCCTCAATACAAAGTTTGAGTATGCTGAAGTGCGCAGTGTGTGTAAAGAATTTCTAGCTGGAAGCAGCGACTGTCGGCTTGTCGACTGTGTATAACTCTGGATGTGAGAACTCAGAATTCCCATCGTATTTTAAAATCACGACGGGCTTGATTTTGCATATAGTGAAGAAAGATATGTTTTTCTCTATTACTGGAGACTATGTATTCTCCTATCCATGTCTTTATCGCTTGTATAATGATTGAGTTAGCTTTATATTGGGCTAGTGGGTCTTAGATTTAATTCATCCTGTGTTGGATTGATCATCCATGTCTAAGAGCACTTTGTCACCTTGATGAAGCGCTCCTGTTCGCTTTATGTGCGAGTATCTGGCGGTCGGGGTGGATGAAGTGGCATACTTACTGTGTGCATTCGGTTTCGTGGTCAATGTTCATTTAAATAGTTCAGTGTGTTTTCGTGTATGAAACGTTGTGACGTATATCATTATAGCTCACAAATGTGTTTGTTCGTGCTGATTCATTGATTAGACTAAAAAGTGAGCGAGTTCGTTCTGTTATGAGTATTTTATCGTTTACGTTGTTTGTTCGACGATATGAGAAACTTCATTTTGTTCTGTACGAGCCTTATATTTCCGGAGGACAGCATTGTAAGTGTGTATGTTGGTTTAGGATCGAATGCTACAATATTATTGTCAATTCATAATTATTAAAGGCAATACGGAATATTAACATGGAGACCCTTTCGCGCCAAGTATGTCCGAGGTCTTTGTGTATCTGTGAACTAGCAATGTAATCCACACTGAGGGTCTTGCCGTAGCTTAGGTCATTTCCGGATACTCTATCAGAGGGTGCGTCTATTTAGAAGCTAATAGAGATAGCAGGGAGGGTTGTACTCGATGTTGTGATTTAGTATGCCATTGCTGTTTCTGATGGTGTGGTCAGTGTGCTTTGTGTTCTAATGACTTAAGAGGCCTATCCCGAAATGGCCCTGTGGAGATCTGTGCTATATGTTTCGTGCATGTATCTCAAGTATACTTTGTCATTTGTCTGTTGTGTATTGTATGCGCTAGTGGCGAACATCGGAAACATGCACAACATTTGCCTGCTGATGTGTGGTGCGACAAGTGTCGTTCATTCCAACTCAGCCTTCCATCAGCATTCAGTGTTGTTCTATCTACATAGAGCAATACGCCCCATGATTCATATGGAACTGTATGTGAAGGACTGTATGTAAAGGATAATACATAATACAATGCAGGTGAAGATGTTGCATACCTGCGAACAAAGAAGTCCCTTCGACCCGATCGTTGTCTTTTTTTTTGACATATCTGTATATATAAAGATATTCAAATAAACAAATGTGTGTCTGTGTCTGTGTCTGTGTGTATCTATGTGTATTTGTGTGTCTGTGGCTGTGGCTGTGTGTATTTGTGTAGCTGTGGCTGTGGCTGTGGCTGTTGCTGTGTTCGTGTGTGTATGTATGTATGTATGTATGTATGTATGTATGTATGCACGTTTGTATATTTGGATT